TTTCAAAAACTACTCATACGATAACAGACCCACACATCGAAAAATTAAAGATAATTAAATTAATAAAAAAAGGTTGAATTTGAAATGGAAAAGGTTTAATTTTAAATGGAAAAGGTTGAATTTGACTTGGAAAAGGTTGAAATTGACTTGGAAATGCTATATATATAATATTACAATGTTTTTATAATTTGACCTTTATATATTATAACTTAAGATAACAATTATAGTCAGATAATAGGTCATGAAATACACTTGAATGAGCTAAAACAACTTCTGTTTATTCCTTTTAATCAAGCGTTTCGATCCCTGTTTTTTAACATAAATAATGGGATCCTCTTCAGTTCTGGAAAAACAATACCTACCATTGGTACAACAATTAAAAGTTTTTATACATTTCAACAATAATACCAAATTGTTCTTACTTTTAATTGAGCGTCGATACCCCAAGCCGGGCAGCACGACGACTACCCCAACAGTACCTCCACCTATTGGGGCCACAACGTGCACCCCGATTCTGGAGTCCAAGAATAATACCAATACCAACAATAACAGTGTACACAACAATCTCTGTTTAGTTATAATTAAAACATTAAAAATTGCTAAAATGATGAATTAAAACTACCTTAAATGTATTTTATACTAACGCCAAATGCTAAAAATTTAAATCAGATACAATAATAATGCTTAATTATAAGTAAGAACATTTTAGTATTATTGTTGAAATGTAAGAAAACTTTTAATTGTTGTGCCAATGATGGGTATTATTTTTACAGAACTGAAGAGGAACTCATTATTTATGTTAAAAATCTGGTGCGTGCAACACACAACTTTCACTTACCGATCTACTTTAAATATAAATTATTTTCTGGCAATGCTGGGCTATTATAAAATTTTTTGAAGTGCATTTTAAACGGAGTTAAAGCTTAAAGCTTACAGATAACAAGTCATTAAGACCATTATAATTACAAAATGTCTATTTAATATATCGACGACAGGCAATAAAAATCTAGTCACTCTATCTGCATTTATAAACCACACAACTTTCTTTGCTTTTATAAACCACAGAATGACTAACTCCAATTTCAACATTTTTGAGTGATGTCATTTTAGTGATATTTTTAGTTGAAAAAGTTATCTATGCAGACAATGAGTAAGTTGATTCCAGAGGTGGTGATTGCAGTGTTGAAATATAGAACTGAGAATAAAGTATAAATTTAGGTACTACTTTCTTATGATGAAGATGTTCTTAGGAAAGACACTTTATTAAATATCTGTAGAAAAAAGTTTTTTTAGTCTCAACAATTAAAAAATATATTTTAAATTTATCCAAATTTTCACCTCTTCAGGGAAAAAAACTAGAGACCATATCTTTCCTCCTAATTGTCCGATTTTAACGATTTTTTTTTTTGTTTTTTTAGGAAATTCCATAAAATTTAAAAAACCATTTTTTTTTAATTATTAGTAATATGCTAAAAAAAATATCATTACTTCAATAACACATTCAAAATTTAAAAACCAAAACAAAGGATATAACATTTGCAGTAGAAGATATAAAAAAAACTAGAGACCATATCTTTGCTCCTAATTGTCTGATTTTAACGAGTTTTTTTTTGGTTTTATAGGAAATTCTGTAAGCTTTACAAAAACATACAATATCGAAAAAAAACCTTATACTTTTTGAGTTATTCGGAATTTAATTTTAACATCCCTCGTAACTTTTTTTTCCAGCTTCTTTTCGTTGAAGTATGTTATATAGATAAATTTAAAGGGTATCGAGAAAATGACTTTAGCGAAGTTTCATTGAAATCGGTACATTCGTTTAGGCGCTACAGTCTGTAGCAACGCAGGTTTTTCTGCATTTTTATTTTTTTTCTCCTTTATTAACTTATCAAATTCTTTCAAAAGTTATATGTAGCATTTTTTCGTAACTCTGAATAATGCAAAATGGTTAACTTTTTAAAATAAACCATATTAAAGGTACTTTAGAGGAAGACATATATGAACATTGGGCATTTAAGCCCTGTAAAGTGACATCAACGGGGATAAGACCTAAATGATATTAAAGAACACTTAATTATACAATGATATACCGAGTTTGATCAAAATCGTTAGAGTCGTTTTTGAGAAAATTGTAAAAATGTGTTTCAGCGTTCATATAAAGTGGCACTTCCGGTTAGCCGAATTTAACGAAAAAGTTGCTGTCACATCCGGCCCACATACAAACCTTAAATACGTAATATCAGTTTTGTACTACTTTTCGTTTATGAGCTAGACTGTTAACACACACACACACACATAGACCATTTTGCGACACTTGGTTATTTGAACTCAGGGGACCTCAAAACATATATTTCTGTTGAAAACTGAGATTCGAAAATTTTCACGATCGCAATACTACATATATACGAAAGTGAAAGTAAAAAACAGGGATCAAAATTTGGAATAAAAGGAATAAACAGAAGTTGTTTTAACTCATTCAAGTGTATTTCATGACCTATTATCCGACTATAATTGTTATTTTAACTTTTTTATATATATACATATGCATAATATTGTCGGAGTCTGTATTATTAAGCTCATGTTACATATGGAAGTCTGTTCTAATCTTTCAGGTAAACTTATATTCCTTTGGTTCCTCCATTACAACTATTCTCCGTTACGATCTTTTCTTTCTCCTTTATTTTAATTATCAAATTCTTTAATATTTAACTATTTTTTTACATGAGAGATTAATGTGAAATGGTTAATTATTTCAAATAAAAAAAAATTGAAGGTACTTTAGAGGAAGACATTTTGAAAAAATCAGCATTTAAGTCATTACAGGTTGCATCGATAAGGATAAAACCTACCTTAAATTAAAAACTACTTAAAAATGCACTGGTCTAGTGAGTTTAATCAAAATCGTTAGACCTACACACGATCTCTTATTTATCCTTCAGTTAATTATCAAATTCTTTCATATCTAATATTTCACTATCTATTATATTAGAGATCAATGTAAAATGGTCAATTGTTTCAAATACCAAAAATTAAAGGTACTTTAGGGGAAGCTAATTTTGAAAATTAGCCATTTAAGCCCTGTTAGAAAACGTCAGTCAGAATAAAATGTACATTTTATTTAAAACTGCTTAATTTTACACTGATATAATGAATTTAATCAAAACCGTAAGAGCCGTTTTGGAGAAAATCATAAGAATGTGTTAAGTTCATGATATGAAGTGCCACTTCCGGTTAGCCGATTTTGACGAAAAAGTTTCTGTAACATCCCTAGCATATAAAAACTTAAATATGCAATTTAACTTTCGTACGACTTTTTTGAGCTATACTGTTAACACACAAACACATACACAGACCATTTTGGGGGACCCTGTTATTTGGACTCAGGACACCTCAAAACATGTATTTCCATTGAAAATTCAGATTCAAAAATTTTCACGATCGCTATACTTCCGCTTACTATATATTTCATATATAGGTAAGTGAAAGTAAAAAGAAGAAAACTTCATTGCAATAATTCCTGGGTTATATCCCTCCTAAACACTGCATATAATTTTTTTTGTTGGCAATAAAAACTTTCAAGTATACAATATATGGTTGGTGATGGTAATCAAGAATGCATCAAGAAATGATTAGTTATCACTCGTGAGTGTGTTTAAAGTAAATGTTAATTACTTTAAGACTGTGTTTTTGTGTGTGTATTATGGAGACTATACATCATGCAGATCCCTTTTTATAAAATTATTAACATCAACCTAAAACTTCGTGAATAGCTTCACATCTCACCAAAACCTACAACTTTTATATTTATGAAAATTATCAGAAATCGGCAAACTTTGTCTATTTAATTAGGTACTAAAAATTTATAAATACTCATTTTCTTTACACTTAATCATAAGATAATTTGATCATAAAATTGAGAATAAAGGTGGCCTATAAATATATTGGGTCTTTGGCGTCACCTTCATGTAAAAATAATCAGGTTATATAGGCCGAAGTATATTTATGTAGACCACCTTTCTTTTCTCTTTTGTGATCAAATTATCTTAAGATTAAGTGTAAAGAAAATGAGTATTTATAAGTTTTTAGTACTTGGTTTGCTAATTAATTTAATGAGAAAATGCCCCAATTCTGAGAATTTTCGTAGATAAAAAATTGGTAGGTTACGATAAGATGAAGCCATTCACAAAGTTTTAGGCGGATGTTAATAACTTGATAAAAAGGGGTCTGTACCACAGACTATACACAAAAGCTGCTGCACAGTGTCTAGAGTTATCCACAAAAACACTTGTTCTCGTCACAAACTCAACTAAACTGATGTTACTTTGTATATTATTCCTTCTCAATATAGTTTATTTTTATATTCTTTCTTCACACTTTATAATTTATTTAGATATCATCATTGTAAAAAAATTTCCTGCATTCTCCACCAGAATAAACAAGGAATAAAGTAAGGTAGCATCTTAATTAAAATGATCGGGTAAGAGGCTACAAGCAATTATGTTGATATAAACAGTTGATATAACTAATGTAAAAACATGTAAATCTGAGACATGTAGATTCAAAATTTAATTTGCCATAGGAATTTGATACAGAATGAACTATATAGTTCATAATTTGGCCTATTTCATTTAATTTCCTAACTCTAAAAAAAAGTGTTAAATTAAAACTAAATGTTCCCACAAAAAAAAGCACTTTTGATATTTGCCACTTTTTAAGATTATTGGATGAGTGTCAACAAATTTTTTAATGCAAACAAAATGGTCAAAATTCTATTATGAAGATTGCCTGTAATCTGAGAACTATCTATTTACCTATAGTTCTACACATTTAATGATAAGGGTGAGTAAACAGTAAACTGAAGTACTATCAAAAATAGATTAAAGTTATTGTAGATATATTCAGAAGATTCTTTAAGTAATACTTCCTCATAATAAATGACAAATGTTTATATACAATATTATAAACTTTGTATAGGTCCTACATTAAGATGAATTTCATACCCCTGTTCTTAGGAGACCCCAAACATAGTCTATTGCACATATTGTACCAGTACGCCCACATCCAGCTGAACAATGAACTAAAACGGGGAGTGTTTCTGATGCTTGTGTATCCCTTACAAGTCTCACCATATCTAAAAGTGGCTGTACAACAGAAGGTACACCATGGTCAGGCCAAGCCACATAATGTAATTGGCAAACAGTTCGTTCTTCTGTAAACAAATCACTTTTGAAAGAAAATATAAGGCAAGGGTACTGATAACAAAACAGTCATTTAAAGCAATAAGACAATACTAGATAATGAATATTACCTATAACTGATTGGCAGTTAGTATATTTGAGACGCATAGTCCTAACAGAAAAGTCTGGACACACTGTACTGGATTTAAGGAGTTTGACACTTATCATTCCAAATTGCTTCTCTTCTCCATCATCTACCCAGTACCTTTCACATTTCGCCTAGAAAACTAACTATTAGTAAATTATCAATATTATTAGATGGAGTATTAGAAGTAATTTCAAACAAAATTAACTCTTTAGAAATTTTCTTTCAGTTAACCTATCATGAGTATTTATGTAATTTTGATATGTGAAGAAAATTTGACCTTACAGAAAGTTTCAATACATAGTTAAAATTACTCTATAAAATTAATAAGTGCTAAGAAAGAAAAATGTAATCCAAAAATATTACATCAAAGTTAGCCTCTAGACAGCACAAGATTAAACATTTGTTAAGTTCAAGAGGATTAGAATTGAAACAAGATATTGTGAAATGATGTTCATACTATATAGCCAGAAGGGTTGAAATAGGTTAAAAGTTCAGTAAGCTTGTACATTGTAAGTTGCATCAAGTGGTAGGTTTTTTTTTTTTGTATGGGAAGTGACTTTGATGCAAAAACCAAATTTTCAACCTTGGTAGTCTCCCAGATCAGAATTCCATCTGGAAAAGATGACATTCTGACAGCATCTAAAGAAAACATATTGAGCATCTGGAAAGAATATTTCCATCACCTTCTCAATCAAGAGGATTCCATGAATAAAGAAGATACCTCAATCCAAAAGAGGTAGAAAAATCAGATATATTGGATGTAGAAATAGCCATAGAAAGGCTTAAAACAAGAAAGGCCCCAGGAATGGACAGACTACAATCATAATTGTTTAAAGATGGAGAAGACTTAAGAGCCAAGCCTAAAACTAATCCAAAAACTATGGAAGGAGGAAAGGATACCAGAGACTTGGAATACGGGCCTAATCTGCCCTCATAAAGAAGAAACGTTCCATGTATGAGAAAAGTAATTACAGAGGCATAGCATTCATTCAGGTTGCCTACAATATAATGTCCAATATCCTATTAAACCGGATATTTCCGTATTACGAAAACATAATAGGTGACTATCAAGCTGTATTCAGAAAGTCCACACCTCATTTGTCAATTTCAAAGCAGCCTATAATTTAGTGGACAGCAACTTTCCTTTGGAAAATCATGACTGAACAGGGAATTCCCAGCAAGTTGGTAAGATTGACAAAGGCGGGTGTAAATGATCCAAAATATCGATTACTAATGAAACAAAGAAATTTCAAAGTTCGTAATCACTTAAAGCAGGGAGATGGAATCTCATTGATGTTGTTCAACTTAGAGCTGGAGAACATCACACGAAAATGGAAGGGTGCACATCGGACTGAATTATAATGGATACGCAGATGATATAGCTATCCCTGGAAGAAATCAAGAGGGCATTGAGAAAACCGCTAAGACTCTAATAGGAGAAGCAGAGCAAATCAGCATACAAGTAAATGAAGACAAAAAAAAAACATATGATATTAAGCAGAAAATTCTACCCCAGTAATAGGATCTGTATAAAAGAGATATCGTTCCTGAGAGTAGACAAATTCAAATAACTTGGCTCTACAATAACCTCAATAAATGACCAATGGTCGGAAATAGACCAACGTATAACAAGTACAAAAAGAGCTTATTTCTCTCTTTCAAAGGTATTGAAATCACGAAAAATATCAAATTAAGGTTTACACTGCTATTATAAAGCCAGTTCTGATATTTGGCTGTGAGACCTGGACACTAGAGATTGGAAATTCTATTCTTTTAACTGAATCAATTCTCAAATATTCGATCATTGTGATGAACTGATTCTTATGAACGATTTTCAATTGATTCTTTTTTTCTTTAACTTAAAAAAGAACTTTTTATTAGAAGAAAAAATAGTAACAAACTTTCTCAAACCTTATGGTTATTCAGGCAAAAATTTTTTTTTTAACTGAAATTTAAAGCCCTGGTTCAAATATACAGAAATAAAGTCATGACTCTTATAAATTAGAAAAGAATTTTAAATTCCGGCTGAATCGGTCAATTCACTGGGTTTGTTCTAGAAAATCTTTCAGCCTTCTTGCACAGTTCACTGAGTTCTTTTGTTTACTTTTGGAATCTACTCTTTCACGAGCATTTTAGACTTTAGAAATTTATAACCCACGGGGATGGTCTGAAAAGTTTCTGACCACAACGTGAAGATGGCAGCACTAGTAAATAAAAGTAAGTGAATTTCGTTGTTCATCTGTTGACAGTTACCCACCAAAGTCAGCCATTTGGGATGAAAGTTCTTATGAGGCAGTTGTTTGAGTGAGCGTTTTTGTGAAAATGGACAAAATCGAGTAGTGAGATGTGATTAAATATTTGTTTTTGAAAGGCAATATGCCTACGCAAATCAAAGATGAGTTGGATTCTTTCTGGATATGGGGACACTGCACCATCATTTACCACAATGAAATTTTGGGAAGCTGAATTTAAACGTGGTCGTAAGAGCTTGGGAGACGATGAACTTTCAGGATGTCCAAAAACTGCAAGTACCAACGAAAACATAGCCAAAGTTCACCAAATGATGCTAGACGACCGCTGAATTAAAGTGAGAGAGATAGCAGAGGTTATGAACATATCAAAAGAACGTGTTTGTTACATATTGAATCAACATTTAGATAAGAGAAAGCTGTCCGCACGTTAGACCAAAAATGTGTTCGAATAAACATTTCCAACATTCTGTTGCCGCAATAAATCCAAGTTTTGGTGCCGATTAATTACTGTAGATGAAACTTAAATACACCATTATACGCCCAAAACAAAAATACAGTCTAAACAGTGGACTGCAAAGGGGGAACTGGCTCCAAAAAAAGCAAAAACTGTTTTCTCAGCTGGGAAAGTGATGGAAAATGTTTCTTGGGATAGTCATGGAGTTATTTAAATCGACTATCTTCAAAAAAGAAAAAACAGGAGCATACTATGCATTATTACTTGATAAGCTGAAGACAGAACTTGCGGAAAAATGGCAACATTTGCAGAAAAAGAAAATCCTGTTTCACCAAGACAACGCACCATCTCACACTTCAGCGGTTGCTTGGACAAAAAATCCATGAATTACAGTTTGAACTATACGACCATCCGCCTTACTCACCAGATCTAGCCCCAAGCGACTTCTTTTTGTTCCCTTATCTAAAAATTGTGCTCGGAGGACTGAGATTTTAGTCAAATGAAGACGCAATCACCTTCGTGAACAATTATTTTGCAGAGAAAAACGCCAAGTACTTTTTGGTCGGGTTACAGAGATGGGAGCATCGCTAGGAGTGTGTAGAGTTACAAGGAGACTATGTTGAAAAAAAAAAAATTCAGAAAAAATGTCTTGTATATCTGTTAGGTACAAAACTTTTCAGACCACCCTCTTATGATTATTTACATTACTATTTTGTTGATTTTATTTTATTTTTTCTGTTGTACTTTTATTTTTAATTACCTATTATTAAATAAATATTTGGGTGGCAAATGGATGCAGAGTCTCCCTCACTCTTTGCGGAATGACCATGCTTTATTGCCCTACCCACTGCACGTGATTTCCCAAATTTCCTTATCCCTATCAACACCTACTGTCACCTCCATGTTGGTGGTCCCCTCTCCTCCCAGGGAGTCTGATGAGACTCGCGGCTGATAGAGGTCCATTCTCTTCTATCCATTTCTATCTATCTATCGGGTAAATGTGATGGTCCTACTACACACCCAAGCTAGGTAGAGGGTGCACGAGCTATGGCTGAATGGCGGAGGGTGTATAAAAATAAACTGTCTTTTATCAACCCACTTGGAGAACCAGGCGGATGAAGCCATCTGTAGGGAGAGGGGGCCAGTTACCTACATACTACTTTCTCTCGCACCCGTGGGAACAAGAAGCAGAAAGAACAATACAATGAAAAAAAACACCAAATCTCTAAAAACTTTTTCTTCCGAGGAGAATAAATACATCCTCTTCGTAATCGTGAACTCAATATCTTAATTTTTCAGAGGCTTCCTGGGACGTTACCCTTGAGGAGGCATCAATGAGAGCCATGTTTCAGCCTCTTAATGCTGAAGTCAAGGAGCTACAAGAATGTAACAAAGGGCTGGTGAATGTGGCGACCACAGCTGAGGCTGGTGAATGTGGCGACCACAGCTGAGGCTGGTGAATGTGGTGACCACAGCTGAGGCTGGTGTTGTGGCCCTACCTCCACAAGGAATGAACCTAATTGCAGTTTCGGCTGACATAAACCCTCTGGTGACCGGTGGAGGGATCCAAAGTGTTGGTTCCCGAGCCAGATAGACTTGATAAGACTAGGGAACCTAGCGGTAGGCTTGAGCCTAAGGGTGGGGTGCAAAGGCCTGTTACGGTCCGGCATCTAAAGCTTACTTGCTCATATTGAAAGATCGGGCAAGATATTTTACTCAGATAGAGACCACCCTCTGGGCTACCAGCTAAAGACATATGGGTCTCCTGAGACCCGACGACTAAGGCTGCGGGGGCCCAAGGGCAAGCTTAAAAGAGACCCAGAACTTCTCAGGGCCCCTCAGAACCTAGTGCTAAGAAGCTTAAAGAGGCAGATAGCAAAAGCTATGCTTCAGCCTTGAGAGGTTAGAAGGTTGTGCTGGTTCCCACTAACTATCCGCAGGTTTTCCTGACCCGTGATCAGGATGAAATACTAAAAGAACCCATCGCAGATAAGACAGATGAACTGGACGAAAACGGCTAATACCATCCACTTTTTGATAGTGTCAGCTACAAAATGGGAGGTGATATCGTGTCATGCATGAACAATGAGACTAGTGCTTGGCTTGCAAAGGTAGTTCCGAGCATCAACCTGGAAAAGGGTATTACACTATGAACGAGGGAAGCTCAAGAACTGACTAGAACCTCTAAGATAGAGGACTTTTACAGTAAACTATACATAATAAATATATAAAATGTACATAAAACATCAGCAATTTCAGAGGTAGCATTACTTTTCCAGCTTCCTCTTCATTACATGCCATGACAATCACTTGCACCTCACACTGAACAACCATCCTCCAAAAATCATTTACAGTACTGGGCAAAGGTCCTTGGCTGGCTATGTATGCAGGAGAACCACTTGCACCCTTAATGAAGTTAGCATTAATATAGTCACTTCCTGGTATTCCAGCATATTCATTAAGCACAACACGACTCACATCAACTGCAAAAAAAAAATTTCTAAGCACATATAATTTAATAAGACAAAACTACATTAATTTTTTATAAGTATAGATGGGTATTATGAAATTAAACTAGAAATAATAGATTATGAACATTAGCTGTATAACTAGGCATAATAAATAATTTAAACTTAATAGTTATTGTAACTTGAAGTTAATTGGACACAAAACTGAAAAATAGCAATAGGAATGCGATAAATACATAAAACTAGTGCTTCTACATGTTTTAGAGATTGTGAAAAATGTTTACAATTTCCTAAGAGGCCTAGGTTTTATACAAAACCTTTTTTCCCCTGGATCAAAGTTATCTTCTACTATTTTGCTCGGATCAGAGCCAGATAATCTAAAAACAAACAAAACTTATCCTTGATCTATTCCTAAATTTATTAAAATATCCGTAGTAGCTCTTTCCATTACTTGTTGTTCTTCCTCCCAGTATCCCTATCGATTTTTTATACCACACCGAGTCCTTCTTTATTTATTTATTTTTGTGGCAACTCCTTACATTAATCTTGACAAATTTCTTATTTTCCTTTTATCAGATACACGTTTTACGTTAATTTCATTAATACTTCACTATTATTTAATATTTATGGTCTCTGCACTGATCTATCTCCAGATATTCTGTCTCTATACCCTATCAATTACACATTAATATAATATGTACATGAAATATTATCTATTAGTCAACCTCTCAACCATAATATAAGTTTCTGTGCTTTAGTTCACATATTTTCATTAACCGTTACAGAGTGTGTCAAGTAAATTCCACTGGTTTTTTCCCCATCAACTCTGTCTTACGGAACCGTTCATGAGAGCAGGCATTTATCATTAAGTTTTGTATTCTCCTCATTTATCTTTCTACAGTAACTTTATTTTCTATGTCCATGCCACTGCTTCGTTTATATTGATATAATTGCTCAATGCATCTTATTTTCTTAATTTACATAATTTTAACTTAGCAATTCTTTTTTAAGTGTACATTATGTTCTAATAGATTTTACTAAACCTTAACTTTTCTATTTACATCTATTATTTTCTTTATACAACTTCATATTCCTTTTCTCTGTTTTTCATTTTTATTCTATGTTTATCTCACTTCCTCTTAACATACTAAGAAATTAACTTACAGCGACTGCATCAACCTATTTGTTTTATGTCTAACATAATTTTTTATCTCTTAATATTTAAATACATTTCTTTGTTGTTTTATTTTTCATTGCTTTGTTAACTTAATTTTGTTGTTACCATTATTTTTTTTTATCGGCTTAAAGGTTTAAGGCAAAATCCTATTTTGACAGAAATTTGTATTTTTTCAAGTATTAAAGCTGTAATTTTATTTTTCTAATGAACTTTTTAAGTTGATTGTGTCTTTTATGATCTTGCTCTTTTATAATATTAGGAATACTTATTATTCATTTCATAAATTCCTAACAATGTTAATGTTGTTTTTTATTTCATAACTTTGTTAATGTTTTCTTATATATTCTAACTTTGGTTCCACTATTTTTTATTCCCAACTTAGTGTTATTGTATATTTCCTTTATTTATATATCATATACTTGCCTTTCCATATATTTACTAATATTAAGTTTAATATACCTACATGTTACTGGACTTTACCTTTTATCTACATATTATTACTTTTACCATCTAATAGTTTCTTATATCTATGTTATTTAGTCTTTTCTTAGCCCTGATGAAGGCCTAAACCTTGGGACGAAACGTTAGCAAAAATAAATATAGTTTATTTATTTTTACTTTGTTACTTGTATGACTGAACACCCCAACCAACTTTTCTTCAATATATCTATGACAGTCAATCCTTAATCCACTATCATAATTTTTTACTAGGTTAGTAGAATTGGGTAGCCCCAAGAAATGGTACTCTGAACTCACCTTCAGTGAATCAACATATTATTACATATCATCAAATAATCATTTGAGTGTGAATAAGCAAGGAGAAAAAAAAAAACCAAAAAAACCACCTGAGTCATTGAAGATATGTTCATGTTTTAATTTTTAAAAAATGTATAACATAAATGAACAAAGTATCAATGTTGGTGTTATTACTTCGGCAGTATAACAGTATCACTCATCTTTTCCAAAGTTTTATGGTTGGATCCAGTTCCTCTAGTGGCAGCCATGGAGGTGGTAGGAAGTTGTTATAGTTGTTCTTCAGAGTCCAATACCTGGTAGAAATGCTCTTCGTCTTAATTGTTAACAACTATTGGTAACAACACCATGTTGACCATAGCAGAGTTTGCAGATGGAAAGGTATTTCAGACCAGCCACACAGAAAGAGCAGGATCTCCTACACTCCATCTTGCAAGTGCTTGAAAAAAATGCTGACACAGTTGAGTACTGAATTGTATATATGTTGTAATTAAAAAAAAAAAGTATAATATAAATGAATAAAGTTGATATTAAGTTTCTATAGTTTTACTACTTCATCAGTAGAACAGTATCACCAATCATTTCCTGAGATGTTTCAACAAATTATCATATTAATGAACACAGTAGTGCTTGCAGAGAGAAGACATTTTAAATTAGCCATAAGACAAGAGGCAGCTGTAACAACCCATCTTACAAATGCATAAAACTGCTAAGTAGTAACAAGGGAGCACATCCCTGGATATTTGTGGTGCCACTAGACCCTCCCCCACTCCTCAGGTTAATGGTGTTCCTCTACCATGTTTGCATTTGATAGAAAAAACAGTAAGAGTGATGACGTCCAGTATTGTAAGTAGGCAGTAGTTTTGTGAGGTTCACTATTTCTCTGAAAAACTGAACATATAAATGGAGTAGTTCAACCAGAGCTGTTTTGATGAACTAGAGAGAATAGAGAGGCGAGGAAATTCAGACACCAGTCACCACAGCAATCATATGAATCATGACTGGGTTGTGAACCACCAGGAGATGTCCTCAAGAAAACAAAGAGTGGTAACTAGGAGTTGCGACTCCAGCTGTAAAACCAAAAGTATCTTCCTATCACATTTTTATTTAAAATTTGAATTTAAATGGTCATATGATTAAAAAAAAAACCAATGAATTTAAGCCCTATCTAATGTCACTCTGCAGAAGGTAGTATGCAGAAAAAAAAAATTCAGCTTTGTACGCAGAATGAATCCCACTTACTGCCTCTAATGTTACATAAGTAATAGTGTTTTACAGGAATCCAGTCAGGCTACCTACTTCATAAAGGTCTTCAGCCACATTTGAAATTAAAGCCAGATTTTTTAAATAGACACTATAGCTTTACTAATGTTGCTGTTGTGTTCAACGGATATCCTAATAAAGAGTGTAAATTAAAACATAAATTGTTAATGTGAAGACATTAATAAGGAAACCATGTTGGAGCCACTGAAGTCGTTCGTGACTTTAATCTGTAGAAGTCAACAGTTTGTATAATAGAAAAAAATACATACAAATTATAATTCTATAACAATCAAGGGAACTAAGTATGCCAGTTGTTTGTATAAACTATATTATGTACATACATGGTATAATTTTCAAAATACGCTATTTTTGAGATTATATATTATGAAAATTTATTTATCCGAACTTTCAAAAGTACTTATGTTAAACCTTTGTATGTTTATAACATACAATAGATTCATATACTTTGGTTCTAAAATTGGTATATGGGATACGAAATTTTTAAAAAATTAAACAATACAAATTATATACAAAAAAAAATTTAGTCTTGAATTTTAATATTGTGAATGAATGAATCAATATGGTGTTGAACACAGATTGTGTCTCATATTACTCAATATAAGCTTATAAAAAGATGAAATGAGACTGTTGTAAAGTATTCAACCTGAATTAAATATGAAACTGAACAGTCTAAAAATCGTCATTTTAATTTAAGTAATTTTATGTTTAATGATGTAGAGATGGCTGACCGTGATATAATATAAGAAGGAGTTGGTCGAGGGGTGCGGTCAAATAAATACTAAATTTTTAAAAAATAGTATTTTTAATTGTTTCGACCCACCTTCCAGGTCTTCATTAGGGCATGCCATCCGCCACTGCAGGAAGCAGTTGATAGACCAGCAGTTGAAACTGGTCTAGGACACTAGACCTGTTTTAACTGCCAGTCTATCAACTGGTTCATGTGGTGTTTAATGGCACGCCCTAATGAAGACCTGCAAGGTGGGTCCAAACGTCAGTGCAATAATTAAAAATACTATTTTTTAAAAATTTAGCATTTATTTGACCGCATCCCCCCCCCCCTCTCCCCGACCAACTCCTTCTCAATTATATGTTTATTTCATACATCCATTTGTTTCTTAGTATTAGAGTAACTGCTTTTTATAGGTATAAAATTCATTAGAAAATAACTAACTTTAAGTTAAATTATCAATTTAATTGTTTAAGGATCATAAGTGAAGTGAATACGTCAAAATAAAACAGTTGCTAACTATCGGAATAAGGTTAGTATGTCTGCTCTACTCGATTTTATGTTTTATGTTTGAAAGTGATTTGTTTTATTGAAAAATTATGAAAAAAGAATTATTTTCAGAAAAAAATACTTCATCTGGGCCAATATATATATGTTAATAAATAAAAGTAAAATTAAATAATACTCAGAATATATTGGAATAATGTCCATAATAAAAAATAAAAAAACCAGTACCACTTCAACCTACGATAGAATAGAATAGAAAATTAAACTTTATTCTGGGACTAAGTCCCTTTAGAAGATGATAGTCCTGGAGTACGTACCAAAAAAGGTGTCATATTTCATACTAAGGTTTGTCCTTATAAATTAACCATATTCACAGGCCCGATGAGAAAAATACACGTCTGCCCGCATATAGCTGCTGAAATACAAAATGGCGGCCAGGTGAAGATAGATAGGGCTAAATAGATATAGAAAGCTACCAACCCTTTCAATTTATAGTATTTACAGCCTTAAGATATGAAATAATAGTCAGTTATCTCATACCCATGGATTTCAAATCGAAAAATTGAATTTATGATTAAAAAATTTACTTTTTTCGGTTTTTCACATATATTAGTGAAACTATGCGTTCTATCCATAATAATGTCATATGTGAAATTAAAGCTGACAAAATTTTTAATAGAAATGGTTATATTAGTTTTTTTTTTTTTGCTATATTCTATAATTTCCGTCCTCGTAATTCACTAACTTTTTTGCCTCACATATTTATCATTATTTGACTCGCAAACTCTTTATTTTTCCATTTTACGAAAAAGTCACTAGGAAGAAAGTTGTTTAATATTAAATTCTCTTAAAGAATAAATATTATTTTACTATCTTAGCTTCAACCATTCAAAGGCTAGAACAATTATAACTTAATGATTAAACTCCGAAACTAACAAAAAAACTTACTTTTTGCAATTTTCGTTATTACACAGCTCTTAATCTGTATACAAGACAGTATATATATTTATATTATATAAGCCAATGTATAAACATGTATGTTATATACATATTAAGAGCTGTGTAATAACGAAAATTGCTAAAAGTTTTTTTTCTGCATAGTTTTGGAGTTTAATCTTCTTCTTCTTCTTTCTCTTACACCCATCTGCCTCTCAGTGTAGGGATGCTTCCAGCCATCGGTTCCATGCATCCCTGTTACCGGCAAGGTTCCTCATCTCTTTCAGGGCCTTCCTTCTCTTAAGATAGTAAAGTAATATATATATTCTTAAATAAAATTTAATATTAAACAACTTTCTTTCTAATGACTTTTTTTTTTGAAGTTAGTGAATTACGAGGACGGATATCACGTAAACTACAGAATATAGCGAAAAAACTAATATAAGCATTTCTATCAAAAATTTTGTCAGCTTTAATTTCACATATGACATTATTATAGGTAGAATGCATAGTCAAACTAATATACGTGAAAAACCGAAAAAAGTAAATTTTTTAATAGTAAATTGAATTTTTCGATTTGAAATCCACGGGTATGAGATAACTGGCTATTATTTCATGTCTTAAGACTGTAAGCACTATAAATTGAAAGGGTTGGTAGCTTCCTATATCTACGCCTTTTCTATATATACATTTACTACATATATATGGTCTCTATCTTTACCTGGTCGCCATTTTGTATTCCAATGGCTATATGCTGGCAGACGTGCATTTTTCTAATCAGGCTTGTGGATATGATCAATTTATAGGGACAAACCTTAGTATGAAATATGACACCTTTTTTTTTTTTCAATGGGCTTCCGGACTATTAAGTGTCTTGGATTCAGTACTGTGCATCATAATAAGGAAATAGAATAACACTTACAAGGCAAAATATCTTTATATCTGTTCTTCTTGCGATTAACTTCTTTCTCACCTTCCAAACAAGAATATTCTTTGAGACATTTGACATTTTCACTAAATATTTTCAAGTCCTGTAAATGATAATTTAAATAAATTTTAACAAATATTATTAAATAATTCATGCATGAACAGATAGGTTAGGAATTTTAAAACAAGGTAGCGCAAATAATAAAGGACTTTTCAGAGAAGGGATAAACAAATAAGTAAGTCGAGAACTTGTATTCAAGAGATTAATGGAAGGAACCCAAGGCTAAGAGATCAAGAACATAAGTTTTTTTTTCAAGGATAGGAATGGAAAGGACACAGAGAAGGAATTATTATAACAAATATTTGAATATAGGCAATGCCAAGACAAAATTATTCAAGGTTTGTTACGCTACTCAAAAATTTAGAAAATAATTTCTTCTATGAAGTTTATAAAAGCATTTTAAGATTACATCCATCACTCAGATTACCACTTTGCTATTAACATGAATTTACATTGCAATTTGCTATTAACATGAAGATTAAAGAATTGATATTCTTCCCTCGATTTTTGTGGTTTGGTTTCAGTTTTATGAAATAATAAATTCATACTTTAGTTTTTTCCCTCATTTTTATCCTTGTTCTTCATTCATACATGTAGTTTATTGAACAGAAAATTACATAAGTAATATGCAGTATATTTTCAATAAGTAATAATTGGGTGAAATGTATATGATCCTATTAATTTTGGGTTTGAGTTAGTATTGTTTATTTATGATACTATTAAAAAAAGGCAGTTAGGGCAAAATATGGGTACTTGTGAGCGATGCGGGCTCTGCTAAACCTCTCTTCTTATCTTACGTTACGTCACGTAACCTGCCTTTTTATATAGTGTGAGCTATTGCATGTGTGATTATTCATTGTGCGTTATTAAAATGGATGTAACTACATTGTGGAAATTGACGTCTTCAGAAGAAGAAGCTATCTATCAAATATTTTCAAAATGTAGGGATGATTGCCAAGGTGAAATATTATGATGAAGGTCGACGGGAAGACGAAATGGAGATGCTTTTGTAAGAGTTGTAAAAAAAAGGTAAGTAAGTAATTGTTGTAAGTAGAGTATATCTTGCTTAATACCATTAAAAGGGGGCATTTAAGCAGCTAAACTACACTGAGTTTCGTTTTTGTTAAATTCATGAATTATTTGGGATATTTTTTATCACCCCTCTAATTAGACTAACAATAATCCACTTCTTGAAAATTTTATTGTTTAATATTCATTATGCGCATATTAATTAAGTTAAGGTATCTAACAGAATAAATTGAGATTTATTTCAAGTTGTGAAAAAAAAATTATGTAATTTTATATTCTGTCACCCAAAAGTACACCTATCTTTAGCAAAAATGACAACTATAAATTGTTGCAAAGCTTTAATTTTTTTTTTTTCGCATGACCTAGGATGCGAACAAAAAGCATTGAAAAATATACTTTTTATTCACTAAAAAAAAATATGTTAACAATGTTTTTCAAATATTTTATATTAAGGTGATAATACAGCAGTTTTTTTTTTTTTACCCAATTTCTATTATGGGAATTGATTACTATTCTATTAATCAACAGACTAAATGTTTCCAATCCTATTAATTTTTATCAATAAAAGCAAATTGGTATTGATGTGTCTTGCACCAAGAGGATTATTAGCCTCATTATGACTATTTTTGAAATAAAATATACTATTTCCCATAAAAGTTGCTTATTCAGAAAAAAACTGCCTCACAGAAGTAGTTTTGTTCCTACAATTTCCAATCTATAATATTCCCTTATTGCATCTAAATTCAGCTTTAATTACCCACTACCAATCATACAGACATCAATACCAATTTAAAGTAATAGATCATTGTTAAAAATTAAGATATTAAAAAAAAAAATTAAATTAGCTTACTAATTGCTTGATTTTTTAAAATTTATTCTTTTAAGAAATCATAAATATTAGGATTAGGAACATTTAGTTAGTCATGTAATACAATAAGGATCAATTCCCATAATAGAAATCAGGTAAAAAAAACACTACTAATAATCCCTTCAGATGTTTGAAAAAGCAGTATTCAACAAATATTTTTAATTATAAAAAAAGTTAATTTTTGTAATTATATTTATCATAATATATCCCAGGTCAAGTGAACAAAAAGAAATTTAAGCAATAATCTATTGCAGCCATTTTTGCTGAAAACAGAGGTACTTTGAGTGACTGAATAACAAACTACATCATTGTTTATACAACTAAAGGTGAAAAACCTGAACTTAATTAATATAGACTTAAAGCTTGTTAAACAAAATGTCTTCTAAAAGTGGAGTTCTGTAGTCTAGTTAGAGGGTGAGAAAAAAAAAAAAAAAAAACCCAAATAATTTGTTTTCATGAAAAACATAACTTAGTACAGTATAGCAGCTTAGAAGTCCCCTTTAAATGGTTAACTTAACGAAGTTTAGCTACTTAAAACTTATTTTCTATTGTCATGAGTACTTCCTGGCATCCTTTCTCTTCAAAGTTATCCAATCCCGCCATCCATTATACATCTCCGAGCTCCTTTAATTCAAATCCTCTGAGCGTTCCCGCAATTTCTATTCTCCTAGGGCACATTTGCAAGAACCCTCGGACGCAGTATTTTTCAACCTAGTATTACCAAAAACAGTTCCATTGAAATTGGCGAACCCATGTCCATAACTTCTCATTGACAGTACATAATGTTAAATATAACAAACATTAACAATACTTGGTTAATTGATTGATAAACATCATAATATAAATAAAATGGATTAACTATTGTGTAAGAATTTGTTGAACCAACAATGGTTCAAATAAACTTCAATAAATGGTAATCAAAAGGTCTTCAAATAAATACGAAAGGTGCTAAGTTCATAGTGTATTACTCCTATTTTCAAGTTTACTATCAAAATGAATAATAATAATACCATCAATTACTATTGTTTGGATATCAACAGTGAGGGTTTTATCAGAGTTAAACATTAACATTATTTTAACATTTGTTGAAGAATAATTAATACTGCATTCCAGGAATTGAGTGATATGGATGGAATACTAAAACTAAGCTATTAGTAATTGATAAGCTAACAGAACATGGATATTAAATGAGAAGATTTTACTTTCAATAGAAGGAATCCATAGATAACTGTGTATAGTAGCTAGAAAGCTAGATTAATAAGAGCAATACTGTAAACTTTTAGATGTATTGTTTAGCAAAAATACCTGAAATTCAGCTTCATAACTTTTCTCTGGACAACTTTGAGATTCTAAATTTTCTATATGATTTAAGAAATTTCGTAACACTACACGTAAAGGTACTCTTTCTTGGTCTTTCATTTCATTCCAGATTAATCAAACGAAAAAATCATGCTCAGTCTGATTGTAAATTAAAATTTAATAGGTAATTTTTTAACATACAAGAAGGGAATGCTCTGAAAACACTTGTTGAATCGATCCACCAAGCCAAAGATAATTACATTTAAAATAAGCATATAGAAAGGGTTATACATAGAGGTATTTAAGTACAAAAAAAAAATAACTAGAACATTTGTAATATATTTAGTTAAAAAAAAATGTATCGAAAATAAGTTATCTCAAAAGTTTATTTAATTTTAAATATTAAACAAATAGTTTATTCTACGATTATTTATATTAGCATCTATAAGGAAAAATATGGATGGGTTGTCATAAAATAACTTAAAATAGTGGAAATTACTTATTACGCCTAAGTTTCGACTCTACTGTAATGTAAAGGTCATCGAGGCTATTAGACCCAGTCTGACTTTATTGGGGGCCCTCGGTTAGAATATAAAGTGGGATTCGGCTGAATTGAAACTATGACTTTCCCAGTTTCCCAAAATCGCTTTAATTCCTACTGTAAGGAAAGGCTGACAGCAATTAAAATTTGATTTTGAATTTTTATTTTTTTAACAACTTTGAAGATGGCGCCTACTAAGAATACTGAGGGACGTAAAGCTATTAATGATAAAACGGAAAGGCTGTTTCTTAGAATTCAAACCACTTTCGATATGATTTAGGGTCCCTCTGCTAGAAAGGATTTGTTTATGGCTAGGACTTCGGAAATTAAAGCACAACTGAAGCAGTGTTGAACAAAATTTCAGTGCTAAATGAATCATTAGAGGAGAAGCATATGATTGAGATAACAACTTTATTAGCAGCGGAAGAACTTTATTATGAGATAAAAGCTGCTTTAAAGTTAAAAAATAAAATAAACTGTCGCAATGACCGTGAGCGCCTTAACGGTTAGGTTCGTGGTCTTATTCCGTTTTATGGCTTCCAGTCTGGATAGGTTGTCCAAGAATTTACCCAGGTCATACTCTATGGAGAGTGAGTAAACGCTGACCATTTGGACCTCGTGAACAAAAAAGGAGTGTACCCCTAGGGCTACTTAGAATCGTTCGAGAGACGGTTCTGCCCCGAAGAAAGCATTTTATAATCAATTAAATGAAATGCATATCTCGGACGAGGCACATCAGAACTCTAGTCCCCATCCCTAACCCTAGTAATATCAGAGTCCGCGTACAATGAACTCTAACAGCAACAGGGAAAATCACGTTTTGCATTTCGTCAACTTGCAACAGGCATGAGCTTAGGACTAAGTAAGTTCGAGAACATCGAACGCTCGCATTCAGACAATCTCATTGGTTTCGTAGTTACATTCAACTAAACATCAAACATCGACAACCATCAGCGAACGACTTCATCAAAGACTCATAGTTCATGAATAATGCCGTTTTGGAAAGTTAATGGAGGATGTCCGACAACAGTGTAAGATTGAGCTTGTAGTAAGTTAACGACGACTAATTAAATTTACAGCTAAACCAACTTTATTAAACTTTCAAAGACAGAAATATATATACAGAATCATTAGTGGCAGTACATAGAGGATTTTGAAAAGATCAAACTGAACAAACCTGTTTACGTAGCGATGGCCACTTTGGATCTTTCCAAGGTCCGAATGTACGAATTCTACTGCGACATAATGTTAACTTACTATAGACCAGAAGTTCCGCGCATGTACTTGATTTTAATGCCCACATTTCAAGTCGTGTCCCACAGTTTTTCTATTTTTTAGTAGAATAAGTTCTCAATTTTACGTAATAAACTAGTTAGCCTGATATAAAAACTACAGCAACAATGGACTAACACCACAGTGAGTAGTGTTGATATTTACTGTGTACTATTACAGACAGTGAAAGAAGAGAATTAGCGTCTATAGGCTTTATCTTTATATCGCCATATCTGCTGACGTCTCACTGAAGCTAGTTACTCCAGTTGTGGCCCAGCCACGTAGCTGACAGGGCCACAGTCGGTGATTCATCCAAAGTTAGAACAAGCTGATGTAGTTTTATTTATTTATTTGTTTAATTTTATTTTTTATATGTATGCAATATTACTACCGAGTAGTGTCAACTAAGAGGTCCCATTCGGTTGGCTCTACCCCTCGTAATTCACCGCCTAAAAAAAAAACTCGTCGCAGAAAGCTATCAACACCCCGGAACTCCTCCAGCGAATACACAAGTAGGTGTACCTCAACTACAGCCAGGTACGTCTTCACAAGAAATGGAATTTCCATTTTTTATACCCAACCCATAACAGGTGCTTCAAAATGACAGGGAAGAGATGGAAGATGCATCTATATCCAGAGAATCAGGCCCACCTCCTATCTTTGTCAAAAAATTGAGAAATTTCCAATTGTTGTGTATTAAACTTAATAAAATCTGCCAAGATAGCTATACATGCCTAAACAGGATCAATGATACAAAAATAATACCGGCCATACCTGAAGCCTACCGGAAAATAGTTAAATATTTAACCGACACAAATGCGGATTTTCACGCATACCAGTTGAGGCAGGAAAGAGCACTACGAGTGGTAACAAGAAATTTACACTCCTCACCCCAACTGAAGTGATTAAAGAAGAGTTAACGGCGTTAGGGTTCAAAGTACACCAGATAATCAATGCTTTAAAAGAAAATAAAGAACAGCCAGGGGTAAATATAAAATCTCATTGCCCTTATTTTACTTATTTTATGTCGATCTTTTTCTTTTTTTTTTAAATTTATTTATTGAATAATAATACAATAAGCCGCTGTTGGAGGGCTATAAGTATTAAGGCTAAAAGTTCTCATTCATACAATATATACAAATAATAGAGAAATAAATATAAATATAAAAAAAGTTAATAAATAACAAAAAATAAACAAATAATATAAAATAAAAACTTCTAAATACATTTATACCTATATACAATATATACATTCGCCCAAGAATTTCCGAGCCAGGCTTTTCCCCCACACGTGGAAGGCAAAGCAGGACTCCAGGATATCCCAGTGCCACTTTTCCAGCCGCATCACTAGTATTAGAAGCCAGTGGAGACTGAAAGAGGGCACTAGAGCCACACACGTTCAGGGCATGAGTGGAGAAACTGGCCATTGCCAGGACTTCAAGATACATACTATCTGGGTATATATATATATATATATATTATACATAGATCTCTGGGCCACTGGGGATGGTGTGGATGCTCGGAGCTGGATAGGGATTGCGCATGAGGATTGGGATGATGAATAAGATTTTGGTGAAAGTTTGAGAATCTGGATGGGCTGATGTCAAAGACATATGGGATGTTAAGGTCATGGTATAGGGTCTTGTTCGTGACATAATATGGAGCATTGACTATTGTTCGAAGGACTTTGAACTAGAAGGATTGGATACGTTCGATATTTGACGATTTAACTGTCCCCCACAGTTCAAGTCCGATGGTCTAGATAGGTTTCAGTATGGTCTTGTAGATTAATAGTTTGTTTTCTGTTGAGAGATGTGATGTTCTGTTTAGTAGTATATATAGCTGACCAAATCGTCGGTTAAGCTCTTGTCTTTTAAGTCTCGTATGTGGGTTCCAGGTTAGTCTTTTGTCTAGAAGGAAGCCAAGGTATCGGACTGTTGTCTGAGTAGGGACGAGGAATTGAATTAAAAAGGATTGGCGGACAGGATCTGCGTCGAAGAGTGACAGTGACATGTTTGCATTTTGATTCATTAATTTTGATGCGCCAGTTGTTGCACCTCTGCTCAATCAAGGAGAAGTGTCTTTGCAGGTTTGGGACGCTTTTACAGGATCTGAGTGGGAGGATATGGTGGCATTATCATCAGCAAATGTTGCTAGGAAGGTATCAAGACTTGAAGGGATGTCGGTAGTTAAGAGGATGTAGAGAACTGAACCCAAGACACTGCCTTGTGGAACACCAGCCTCAATTGGATAATGTTTGGAGAGTTCAGTGCCGCAGCGGACTTGAAAGGAGCGATTTGAAAGGTAGGATTTGAGGAAAAGGTACAAGGGTTGGGGTAAATGGGTTTTGAGCTTGAAATGCACCAGTGCAATATTGCTTGTTTTCAAGTGCAGAGGATATATGGACCACAACACGAAGGACTTGTTGGATAGTGGAATGTCTTGAGCTGAATCCAAACTGATGGGAAGGTATATTGTGGGATTCGACTATGGGTAGGATGTGTTTGAGAAGGATTTTCTCAAAGATTTTAGAAAGGATCGGGAGTAAGCTTATCGGTAATCTTATAGGATGATGTATTATTAACAGGTTTACCTGGTTTAGGAAACAGAACAATTATGGAGTGTTTCCACACCAGAGGAAAGTGGGTTGTGCGGAGGATACAATTGAATAGGTATGTAAGGAATATAATTGCTTTTTTGGGAAGTTGTCTGAGGATCGGGGAAGTAAGGAGATCGTGTCCAGGGGATTTTCGAGGTTTCAGGTTATTTATAAGAAATTTGATCTCAGGTGGGTTGAAGGCTGTAGGAGGTAAGCAGGGAAGAATTGGTGAAGAGTTGAATTCTTAAACTTCGGCACTATGGGTGGGATGGAGTTCGGGATGAGGATTGAATGTGTACTTGTTAACGCCGCATACTCTCATATCTTTGTTTTTTTAGTGTTATTTTTTCTCTCACCACTCACCCCTTTTAAGTGTTAATGATGGAAGGTTTATTTTTTTTATTTTGATAAAAACTGAGGGATAATTGTCTCAGAATGTTACATTGTTTTATATTTAGGATTGTTTTACGATGTATTATCGCTTATTTATATGCACCAGCCCGGCAGTATTACACGGTCGTATGGATTAAGACATCAAAATACGTCCGAAGCCAGTCTGGAGCTGGCCTTTGATGACACAGGATCCATGTCGTGGACGGCTACCCCCACCTTCTGCTCCAGGTTCACCTCGACTCACCAGCCTAGCGCCATTTTTTTACAACAGCTGTTCGGCGCAACTGGGTAATCGATCGAGATTGATACCACCCCACCATCGATTATTTGACAGCTAGATATCGGAAGGTAACAGGATGGAAGCAGAACCTCCAACTTGGTTGTTTGTTTTATATTCTCACCATCAGCAAGACATTAAAATATTAATTTGAATTGTTTTCTTCGCTAAATTAGTTATTTTTTTTGGA